ATTGTTGTTGTTATTGTTATTTTCGGGTCAATAAAAATCGCTTTGGCTATGCGCAGTGATGCTCAGGTAAAGATCTTTCTTCTTTCTTCCTAATCCTGAAATGCACTTCCTTATTGGGGAACCATTTAAAAATTAAATCCCTTCTATTAATGATAGAGCTCATCCAAGCCATAACAAGGAACAAAAACGAGCTTTGACATGTGGATACTACTTTTCTATTTCCATTCAAACACACACCGTCGAATTTGTGGACGATGGCAGTCACTTTAGGCACATGCATTTGTCGTCATTGTACTTGTTTATAGCTATGTTTTCTTTAAAAAAAAAAACAATCTAATTCATCAGATTAAGTACGTTAAATTAGTCGCTAAAGATAAGATGAGCGTGGCTAGCTTAACATGCTAAGAAGCCTTGGTCCACGCTACAGGGGACCGAACGAAACGGCCTAACCCATGCATGTGATCTGGGTTGAACAGTGGCTCCAGCAACGAGGACCGAGAAATCTGCGTGTGTGGAATGTGGATGATGCAGGGAGATCTCTCAATCTCAAGAGCTTCGTAATTATAGTATTACTTTTAAGCATTGTCATCATCAATTATGAGTGGCTTAAAAATGAAGTCATGCCGAACAGGACACAAGGGAAGGCAGTGAAAGCATCCGCAAGCGAGTACTCATCCCAAAGACAGATTCTCTCCTGCCCATCAAAACTCATGGCAATATGGTAAGTATCTCAGACATCAAAGCCTACAAAAATATATAATATGATGGCATGTTTATTGTTCAGTATTTCCTCTATCTTAAATTATAAGATAACACTAAAGAAATGTTATTATTCCAAAATATAATATAATTTGATAATAATAAAGTTTTATTAATGATGCTTCTACAATATTGCTCTTCAAGTGGAGAAAGAACCGAAATGATAATCCCTCTCGTATAAAATATAAGCATTTCCCTTCAACTAATCTTAAATCAAAATATAAGCAACTTAATACATGTAAAAAAAATTTCACAATTTACCTCTTATATTTAATAACATAGATATTTTTGTAAATGTATTTCTTAGGTCGCTTTGGTTACTAGAATCAAATGGAATGAAATTAATTAAAAAAATCAAGCCAAAAGTGAAATAAAAATGCCCTTCCTCCTATGGTAAGCATAATAAAACTTAATAATATATGCTATAAATATAGAAATTATCATACCTTCTAAAAATGTCATGAATTATAATTTTCAACCTTGTGAATTAAGTTACCCCTTTCCTTTTTCAATGTACTCACATATTTATTTGATCATCTTATTTTTACCTTTATTTTTTCAATCTATTTAATTCCATTCCATTCCTTTCAACTAAGCAAATGTGACCTTGCTAATCATAGGGTATGTTGATAATTGAGACTAGGGGTTAAAAGAAAAAATAATATATATTTTGATAGGAATGAATAATTTATTGGCTTTTGGATGTTTTTCTTTCAAAAATTTCTTATAATTTGGATTGGAGCTAGGAAGTATCATAGTGTATTGACTAATTGTGTAAAGGTATTTTTAAAATTATGTAGTTTTTTTTTGAAAAAAAAATCTATAAAGTGTTATTATTGTGTTTTGTTATTATATATAATCTTGTCTCAATTTGTTTTATAATTTGTGACAAAAGGAGTAGTTTGAAACAAGAGGAAAAGCAAGTAAAAGAGAGACCTAAAGAAATGACCTATAAAAAGATTCCACTAGCTGGATCCATGTAATTTATGTCACATAATTAGAGATAGGAAACAAACAAGCTTGACTCATATAGGCTTGACCCTTAAAGGCTCAAGCTTATAAACTCAGTTATATCAAAATTTGTCATTTTTTTTAAAACTCAACCCATATTTAAATGGCCCAAAGCCAATTTTCATTTTTTCCAATTTTTAAAAAGTTCAATTATAATATTTTTATATTTTTTTAAAAATATAAGTTATAATGTTCAAAAATTAAAAATAAATCATACATATATATTCTAAAGTTTAAATTCAATTTAAAAATTAAAAAATATTTTATTTTTTATGAAAAAATAAAATAGACATAAAAGGGCCACTTGAGCTTAAACCCATTTTTTCAAAGTTTATTAGGGTTGAGTTTTAAAACTCAATTTTTTTAAAAAAATGTTATTTTTTAGGTCCAAACCCTTATAAAAAAGGTTTAGATGAGTGACTTATTAGGCTCAATCTTTACTCTTGACTCTACGCATGGTACTACTTGATTGCTTGATTTTGTGATTAGGATCAGAAGGATTTTTAGTTCTACCCTAAATTTAAATGGACACATAAGGAAGAGTACTTGACTAGATAGGGTTGTTAAGGAAGTCAAGCCCCTTGAACCCATGTCATGCAGGGAGGACAATGAAAGGGAAAAAAAAATAGACATAAAATTGAGATTGAAGGGTGACTACAACCACAAAAAATTTTGTCCTTTTTACTCCTAAAAAACAAAGAGAAAATATTTGTGCAAAGTTACAAGCCTCCATGGACCTTCAGATTAGTGTGCGAAACTTAAATATAGATCCAAAAGTAGAATAATAACTCAGTCTAGTCGTGAGATGAAAAATAAAATTTTCTCCAAGAAAGCCCAAATAGTGGAATTTCTAAGGGAAAATGACATTTAGAGACCTCACAAAAACATTAATGACAATTATAAATTTTAAATTATTAAAATCTCACTAATAGATACCGAGGAAGCCCAATAGTGGAATTTCTAAGGGAAAATGACCTTTAGAAACCCCATAAAAATATTAATGATAATCACAAATCTTAAATTACTGAAATCTCACTAACAAATGCTTGCAATTTAAAAATATGAATAGTTAGATAGGAAATCAACAAAGTATACTTGAAATTATTTATAATATTAGTTAAAAATTTATTAGAATCAGTTATGTATTTTTTTTTACTATTAATATATGGATAAACCACTTAAAAATTAAAAAAATATATTTAAAATTATTTGTAATATTAGTTGAAAATTTACAAGAGCTAGCTATGAATCACAAGCAATCATTTGTGATTTTTTTATTGTTAATATATACATAAATCACTTAGAAAATATACAAAATATACTTAAGATTGTTTGTAATGTCAATTGAGAATTTACAAGAATTGGTTGTAAATCCCAAACCAATCATTTGAGATTTTTTACTATCCTTTGAAAATCAACAAAATGATACTTGAAAATCTTTGTAGTTTTAGTTGAAAATTAAAAAAAAAATCTTTGTAAATTTTAAGTTAATTAACAAAAGATAATTTATGGTAAGTAATAATTTTGAGTTGTTATTGAGATTTCGATAATTTAAAGTTTGTAGTTATCATTAATATTTTTATAGAGTTCCTAATTGTTATTTTCTTGATTCCTCCTAATATATAAATATCCCCGGCTACCACAAAGTTAAGACCAAGCCGAGCATACATTTTAACTGTGATTCACAGACATAACATTCACTGCTTGACGTCTAATTTACATTAATTGTCGTCCTATACCCATTCACGTATATGTAAATAGTTTAGCTCCAGTTCCTTGTCATATACTGTAATTATATCAGGGAAAATGACAATTGGGGATTCCAAAATAATATTAATAATAATTACAAAATTGAATCATTAAAATTTAAATAATAGACCATAATCCTTACTTACAAGAAATTATCTTTTATTGGTTGGCTTGAAATTCACAATGAATTTTAATAAATTCATAATTAATGCTATAAAGATTCACAACTATGTTTGTTAATTCTCAAGAATATTTAGTAAATTTTTGAAGCAATTTATCTATATATTGATAGCAGAAAAGTCCTAAGTAATTAGTTTGTAATTCACAATTAACTCTTATAAATTTTCAATTAACATTACAAATAACTCTTAAGTATATTTAATTGATTTTTCAAATAGTTTATTTGTATATTAATAACAAAAAATTGAGATTCACAATTGAATTTCATAAATTCTCAATTAATATTATAAATAATTTTAAGTGTATTTAGTAAATTTTCTGACAGAATATTTACATTTTTAATTATAAGTAAAAATTATGGTTTGTTATTGAGATTTTAATAATATAAGATATATCATTATCATTAATATTCTTAGTCATTTTTCCATTATATTATTCTGAAGCTCTTGGGCAAAGAAATATTAAGGGAAAATTAATATTTGAGTCATAAATTTTAATTATCCAATGGCCCCGCAAAATGGATAAATAGTTTTGAAGTTCCAAGACACTTTGGTGTAAATATCTTTTATTGTCTGATTACTGTATTATCCATGATTTGAAAAAAAAAAATTACGTCATAACCCATTCCCACAAGAAAACTTGGCAGCGTTTAATAACAACATTGCAACGGTCAATCAATGAGAACTGCTTCGTTTTCCTTTTTTTAGATAACGTGAAATATAGTAATTAGACCAGGAAAAAAAAAATCACACCAAGATTTCTTGGCATTTTAGAACTATTTTTTTTTATTTTGTGGGACCTTTGGGTAATTGAAACGTAGGGTTCAATAGTGATTTCCCCAAATACTAATAATCCACAACCTCGACTTCTCTTTAGTTCTCATGGAATAATGGGTCATAAAATTTACATGAAAGAGCTACACTTAACATGGAATGAAACGGCATAAAGAAGCTGAGGAAAAAAGAAGGACGAGAGCTGGTTCATAGAAAGAACCATGGAGCAGCTGTCTGAGAGAATTAAATTTAAAACAACAATAACTCATTCAGCAACTTAAATTGCGAGACAAAAGATGCTCTCTAGCATACTCATATAATAAAAACCAACCCCAACAAGTTTCTGCTAACCGTTGCTTCCTTGCATTTGGGCCATGTGTTCGACCAAACAAGCCCTTTTCCCACTTCTAAACGCAAGAGCCATAAATTATGTGAGCGAGGGAGGGAGGGGTAGTTGAAGCTATAACTTCTGACTGATGACTTCTGAGGTCAGTTAATATTGAAGCAACCAGCTTTAAAAACCATTCCCTTTGTAGATTTCTACATAGAGACTTCAAGCCATTTTGCTCTTCATTCCATCTCTCACCCTCATTTTCAGCTTCTCAAGCTGCATCTCTCCAAGCATTTCTTTGAAACTTTGCTTCTCCAATATGGCGTCTCAAATCTTTCCCATCTTTGGTTTTCTCACTGTGAGCTTCCCTTTTCTTTAATTAGTGATCAACGCGTTTATATTTTCCTCTTGCGTGAATCTGTCCTTGACTTGTTTGTGTGTGGAAATTATGCATGCAGCTTGCGATGGTGGCAACTCAAGCTGCTCTGACTCCTGAACTCTACTGGTTGTCCAAGCTTCCCACTACGCCAATGCCAAAGGCTATCACCAATCTCCTGCATCCTGGTTTGTTTGCTTTTGTGTGTTTGCATGTGTGTGTTCAAGGGCACCCTTTTGCAAATTTAATAATCACATTGATACGTTACTTTCAAGTGCTTTCAAAATCTTATCATTATCAACAACTGAGAGTAATCAAAAACACGGGTAAAGCCAGGATTTGGTTATGAAAGAGATCGAGACTAAAAAGCATATATAGATAAAAGTTTGTATGCATTTTTAAAGGTGAAATGGAAAACTTGGGATCATGGCACTTCCCAGTCTTCCCTCCCTCTGCCATTGATTGGGAACAAACTAGATTTGAATATACATGGTATTTTGCTGCTCAGTCCCTATGCATATTTCATTCTAATAGAATAAGTGTGGTACATGTTACTTTAATTGCTTTCAAGCTCTAAAATTATCAACGAAGGAGGACTAATTTGCTGAAGAGCATACATGGAAGGGACTCCTAAATCCTAGTTGATGTACGGAGATAGAAAATGAGAAGAAAATGTAACTGAGAGTTAAATATCTAAATTTATCTGTTAATTAAGCAAAGTTGGGTATATTTGCAGAGTGGAAGGAAGACAAAAGCACCTCAGTGGATGTAGGGAATGGTGGAGTAAACGTTGATACAGGAAAGTCAGGAGCAGGTGGTGGCACCAATGTGGATGTTGGTAAAGGAGGGGTTGCTGTGAATGCAGGACACAAGGGAAAGCCTGTCTATGTTAATGTTGGGCAGCCATTTCAGTACCTTTATGCTGCCACTGAGACTCAGTTGCATCATGATCCAAACGCAGCCTTGTTCTTCATGGAGAAGGACATGTATCCTGGCAAAGAACTGAACTTGCATTTCACCAAGACCACACAAAATGCCATCAAATTCTTGCCCCAACAAGTTTCTAAGAGAATACCCTTTTCATCAAGCAAAATCCCAGAAATATTCACCAAGCTCTCTGTCAAACCTGGGTCCCTGAAGGCTCTGACCATGAAGAATACCATAAAGGAGTGTGAAGTGCCAGGGATTAGAGCTGAGGAAAAGTACTGTGCCACTTCCCTGGAATCCATGGTAGAATTCACAACTTCAAAGCTTGGGAAGAACCTGTGGGCCCTTTCTACAGAGGTTGATGAGAAGGAGACCCACATGCAGAAATACATAATGACAGTTGGAGCGAGGAAGATGAGAGGGCCGAAAGCCATTGTGTGCCATTTAACCAAGTACCCATATGCTGTCTTTTACTGTCACAAAACGGAAGCCACAAGAGCTTATTATGTGCCTCTTGAGAGTGAAGATGGGGGAAGCAAAGTGAAAGCAGTAGCAATCTGCCACACAGACACATCACAGTGGAATCCAAAGCATTTGGCCTTCCAAGTGCTAAAGGTGAAGCCAGGAACTGCTCCAGTTTGCCACTTCCTTCCTGAGGATCATCTAGTGTGGATTCCCAAGTAGATCATGTAAGATGGGACATCCATGAATAACTAGGCGATTGTGGAAACATCAACTCTACAACTCAATCCTTTTACTTGGCTTTATGTCGTTTACCTTTACGCATATTTAGCAGTCTTGTGTATCGTTAGTTTGTAATTGTCATGTATCACATGTGAAATTCTGAATGCTAAGTCTTTGCTTCTCTTACCTTCGAGAATATGATCATTTACATGACTTGGATGAATATCCAATGGAAACTTTCGAGAGTTAAAATCAACGCAGGAAGAAAGTCACTGTTTGCATATCTGGAACTGGAATACCTCTTCGAAATCATCTTGGATCGAATAAATTCATTGATCAATAAATGGCGTCAAATTGGTTCGTTTAGTTAAAAAAGCTGATCAATTAGACGCGACTAGCATTGAGCTCTCAAAATGGGTTAAAAAAAAAAAAGAATCCTTGAAATTGTTAAATAAAGAAGCATCTAAAAATTAGTTTTTTTTTAATTTTAAATATCACTTTACAACATACTCCCTCCATTTTTATTTATACGAAAAATTATCATTTAATCTATTTTTTTATATAAGCAAAATTATATTTTTTGATAACTATTTATTATAAATTTTTTAAATTAACCCTTATAATTTCATCATTTACAATTATAAAAAATAATTAATAAAGACTTGATTAACATAATTAATAAAAGATATTTTAATTCAATTCTTTTATTTTCAAACACAATCAATATAGTTAATCAATTTTTTAAATATATTTTTTTTTCTCACAAATAGAAAGAAGGAATTACTAATTTAACTGTAAAGTAGTTTCCGTTATTATATTTCATAACAGGATTCAATTCTGGTTAAATTACTTAAATCTCGTCTTGTTAATCTGGTTGGAAATTGAAATTTCAATCTACTAGCCTTGAGGTTATATTGCTCTTCGGTCTTGCTACGCAGCTCGTCCGAGATAAAAAGGGGGAAAAAACAAAGCCTTGTTATTTGTTATTTGATTTAAACATAAAACCAAAGGCCTACTTTTCTCCAAAGAGAAATGATTGTGCTCCAGCAAGAGAACAAAAAATTTCGAAACAAATTTAATCGATCAAATATGACAACGGATCAAGGAATAATGATTTTAACTTTTCAAAACGTGTTATTCCATTTACATTACCTTTGACTATGAACTCTACAATATTTTAATTTTTCTATAAAAAAACAATGAATTGAAGCCTCATAGCTGTATTGCCGCGTGCTGAGCATTGAAGCTCATCTTGCTACTTTATTAATCTTTTCTTTGATTTTGTATCAGAGGCTAAAAAATTACTCACTGTAACTTAAATGACCGCAGCAATGTTCTTGACTTCTTTCCTGCCGCTAGAAACAACAATCTTCTCATAATTTCCCGCCCTTCAGAGTCTCACTTGCAAATCTAAGCGGCTGCATTGCTCAACATGTTAAGAATTTTCCTGATGTCCTGAAGAACAACCTAGTCAGTGCCATAATCCCAGTCTTTGAACTTAATCAGGTCTCAAAGGCTCCAAAGATCCCCATGTTCTCCCAACCATGAGTTTAACGGGCAGAGGAACTGCAAATTATATATCGATAACAGTAAATTTCATATGAACGGAGAAATTCAAACTTTTTTACCCAACCTTTCCCAACAAATAAATGAATGAATAACAAAACTGAATACAAACCAAGAAGTGAGACAGCATTCTCCATGCTAGTCTTCAACAGCAGGGCAGCTTCCTTTATTACAGAGGGATCAACTTCGAGCACCAATTCATCATGAACCTGAATAACAGTCACTTAGAAAATGACAAACAAACAGATAAAAGTAGAGGGGGCAAAATCATGGCTGTCAGAATTGGTAATTCGACAGGTTCGACTGGGAACCGGCCTATTGTCCAGTTCAGGCAACCATCAGAACTGGAAAAGGACAGTGGAAAACCGGTGAAGAACCACTTATTCAATTTTTTCTTTGAAAATCCCAATAACCTAAAAATATGTTGTTTTGTATTTTTATTTGTCTTATGGTTAGTTTTTTTTTTTTTTTATTATAGATATGAAGATATATGATGATGATTCCTTGGTGATTTTATCTAAAAATGGAAGCTTGTGTTGGTTTAGTCACATCAATTAATGTGGCAAAATCCTTTAAAAGTTACCTGCAACAGAATGCGACACCGATCTCTGAGCACATGAAAGTTGGTAGACAATGAAGAACTTGAGCATGGGCTATCAATGCCATCGACAATAACAGAGTAGATTCTTAACATTGCGATCTTAATTATGTCAGCAGCGGATCCCTGGGGCAAAACACGACATCATCATCATCCACACTAGCAAGCTCTGAAGGAAAAGAATGCTTACCCTGGTAGGAAAACACAAGTTATACCTGACAAATGGAATTCACAGCTTGCCTCTGAGCCTTTGATTTTTCTTTAGTGCAGCCAAATTTTATTTTAGACAAAAATCGTTTTCTTCCTTTGAGAGTCTCCACATATCTGGGTCATGCATTTACAAGTTGTTAGTAAAAATGTGGTCCAAAAGTAAAATGACTTTAGCAAGAATGCATGGATTACCAAAAAAAAAAAACAAAACTAGTTTTTTATATCGAGATGTAGAGGCAACAAACAAGAAACACCAGATACCAATAAGATATTATAAATTACATCACTTTAATAATAAAAAACCATATAGTATAGGAATAAAACCAATGACCATTTCTTTGCTCAATGAACATTCAAAATGACTTGTATATAGAAACAAAAAAAATGGTCACAACAATTAAATAATATAATTGTTTAAACTAGACAGTATTCAATGCTTATAACATAATCACTCTATTAATGCTAGAGGGAGTAAACATGTCAGTCATGATATGCACAATTAAACCAAGGTGTCCAGACCCTTTGCCACGACAAGATGCAACAGCTTCTTGAAGCCAAGAAGCAACGCCAGGAAAAGAGCTTTTGAAGTTTTTAATCTTTTCATCAGCTTCATCTGGAGAGCAATCCAGTTGCTCTGCAAGGCTATTGGCACCCATACCATAAAGAATGCCATACACCATCCTTTTGGTCTGATCTCTTTCAGGGGGGCCCACAGAATCCTCAGAACACCCAATCCATCTAGCTGCTATCATTGTAAAGACGTCACCATGAGGTTTACTAAGAAGTTCAATGAGTGAAGAGTCTTTTGAGAAGTGAGCCATCAACCTCAATTCTACTTGAGAATAATCAGCTGTTAACAGCAACCAATCTTCCTGCAATAAATAAATCAATAAATAGAAAAGTTAGGGAGAGAAAATGAACCAGACAGCTAAAACTATGTTTGGCAGTATTGGAGTAAAGGGAAGCTAAGAGAGGTGAAAGTGGGAGGAGAAAATTTCTTTGCCTTTTTGTGACTTGAGAAAGGCAGTGGAAATGAAATAATGGATGGGAAGAGCTATGAATTTTACAACAGTTTAGATATGCTTTAGAAATTTAAAATAGTAAAACAATAAACTAAAAGTTGATGGTGACCAACAATGGCATATTGTAACTTGAGTGGTGACGGTGGGGTTAATTATCAGTTGATGCTACACGTTAGAAAGGAAAGAGTATGACATTAAATTAGTGATGGAAAAGCAAAGATTTATGTTAGGCGTAGAAGACTTTAGAGAATTTTATTTTATGCCTCAGTAATTATTTATAAGGTTCTTTTTTATATTTTTTTAAATTTCAAATTTAAACTAGAGTAGTTTTAACTGCGCAGATGCACACAAATGAAATTTTTTTAAAAAATTATATAGCTAGAAATAAAAAAAATATAGTACAAAACATAGAATAAATTATTATATACGATGAAACAGAAAACAACAAAAGTGTATCTTACTTATATGATGTATAAGATTAGAGGTTATAAGGACAGGATAGTAGATAGATTGAAAATTTCAGATAATTTTGAATTTAAAATGAAAAGCATTTTTGGGAAGATAAGAGAAAGAAGAAAATGATACATATAATGTTTGGGAGAAAGTAAAAAGATATTATAAAAAATTAACACACATATAATATACTATGTAAGGACATTTGGGAAGAATGTCTGAGGTGATGAGAAATTTATCAAAGATTGAAACTAGTAAGGAAAGGAGGGTAAAGGTCAATGTCCAAAAAAAGTTAAAATGAAGAAAAGAACTGCTAATGATGTGACATAAAACAGTTGCTCATTATCCTAATTTTATACTCTCCCCATACAAAAATATAAGGCATTTTTAAAAAGTTGAATATTTAAAAATATAAAACATTTTTAGTGTTTCAAAGTATAATTATTGCTTCTTTTTCAAAAGTGCTTCTAATGAATAAATCATTTAATATTTATTATAGAGTGAAACACCCTATTAAATAGAGGTAAATATGAAAAAATAGTGTTAGTTTGAAAAAATATAACAATTTTTTTAGAGGGTAAAATTCAGTTAAAATGCCTTACATTTTTTAATGGAGAGAGTATATGTTATTTAGTTTTAGTTTTAGTTTTAGTTTAATTTTAATATTGATATGATCAGGTTATTTAGACTTATATTATAATCATTAATTTTTTTTTTGGTAGAATATTATAATCATTATTTTATTTACTATATTCAGGGCTCTATTAAGGGTTTGGTCATTGCAAGGCTATTGCTTACTAAATCATATTAGATTGTAGCCCATGTTTTGCAGAAAATAAAAAAGTTAGTGCAACTTCCTATAAATTAATATATTAATATATTACTACTGATAGTGGTGATTTGAGACTTCTGCCATCACACGTCTCTCTCCCAAGTTCTCTCTTCCCCATCCATCTCTCTACTAGGGGTGTTCACGGGACGGGACGGGACCGGGACACCCCCATCCCGTGTCCCGTCCCGAGAAAAAGATCGGGACTGAATTTTAGTCCCGTGTCCCGTCCCGTCCCGAAAGTCGTCCCGTCCCGTTAAGAGTCGGGACGGGACCGGGACAAGATCGGGACGTCCCGCCGTCCCGATAAATGAAATAATATCGAAAAAAGAAGATCTGGATAATAACATTCATTAAAATTTTAAATCATATAATTTATTAAGTTTAAAATCAAAACAACACAAGTACATAAATAATAATAATTTAAAATCAATTATTGAATTATATTAATCATAACTACACATTATAATAATAAACACAAATGATCTTTACACTATAAGATTAGTAACAACAGACAAGTCAAACATAATATCAAATCATTGTTATTCTACTTTAGTGAAGATGTACTAAGCTAATTACTCTTCTAAAAATAAGCAAAAAATACGTTGTAAATAAAAGTTATTAAATAGATATATATAAAATAAATTATAGTAATATAATTAATATATTATAAAAAAAGATATCGCCATGTTTACTCCATGCCATTAAAATTATCAATATAAAAAAACTTTAGTTTTAAATAAGAATTGTAAGTATTAAAATTATAATTGATATAATTAATATAAGTATAAATTATATTAATATAATTAATATATTTAAAATAAAAAATAATATATATAATATTCGGGACGGGACGGGACGTCCCGATGGTAATCCCGTGTCCCGTCCCGTCCCGAACCTCTTTCCTGTCCCGTCCCGTAAAGTCCCGTCCCGATTAGTTTCAGGCCGGGACAAGACCCGTCCCGATATGATCGGGACGATACCGGGCCAATCGGGACGGGTTCGGACTGAACACCCCTACTCTCTACCTCTTCCTTGTTCTCCCTCTTTCTCCTTCTCTCTCCCCCTCCTACCCTTTGTCCAACATCAATTAGTTTCACGGAACTATTAAGAAAATAGCCAATACAGATAGTTCTGTCATGGTTTAGAAGAGTCATTCTACATAATCAATAAAAAAAATCCATTTTTTCATGTATATGCACACCTCTCTATCCCTCTTCCTTTTTCAAGCCAGGGTACCCTTTATTTCAATCCCAGACATGAGAGAGCAAAGCTGGATAGTAACAAGAAATAATCATGGAAGAGAAGCTAACTCTGTGCAACCCAAGTATATTTTTCCCCTCCAAGAAATTCTTGAAACTATGGAAACAAGACAAGTCGTCAAAGTTCATATACCCTCACATTCTATGCTTGTCAACATGCCAAGCCTCTTTGTATGAGAAGAAAATTTTGTTCAGAAGTGAAGACTGAGAAGGAAATAAAGGGTACTGCTGAAATTTCATAGTTATAATCAAAAGAACCAGTTGCCTTCCCTTTTTTAAAGGGGCACAGATAGGGATTGAGCCTCCTTTGATGCATTTGTCGTCCTCGTCTCACTATAAATATTAATTCTTTCTCACTACTTCTAAATGTCAGTAAAGTTACATCTTATGTCAATCAGTATGGATTCATTAATTTACTGAACATGCGGTGTAAACCTGAACATTTTTCTACCATTTTAAATATCACTAACACATAAAGTGAATACAGACTTTAAACTTTATCGGATTTTCTGTTAAGCAATAAGTGTGCCTTTGGGATTGGTATTAAATTTCTGATTTTACACATAATAACTTCACAAAAAATTAATTTTAGAGTATTCAGTCCAGATTCATACTTGTGCGATATCTAATAATATCGCTAATGTTTTCGTCTATTCAGGCATTATTGTTTCTAAATCGAGAGAATTCACCAGTAGAAGGGATAAGAATCAGCTTTTTAGTGTTCCCGAAACAATGAGAGGAAGTGGAGGAGAAAAAGAAGAATCAATTCTGTTGATTTAGAAGGGATGATAGGCCGCCAAGAGACTACCCTAGTTAATGTACGGAGAAGGCAAACTCGGAAAAAAAAAAATCCAAGGTACCAGTTAAAAAAACCCACCTGAGTAGGGATAAAGAAATCACGAGCATTAACAACATAGTGACGATCATCAGCATCACCACCATTTTTATCCTCTTCCACATCGAATTCCACCTCATGTTCAACGCACTGCATAACTCAACAAGAACAGTATATAATATTAAACCTTACTAACAACTGGGGAAAACAATAAAAGAACAAAAGCATGCAGTTAATTTAGAGTTCAAACCTGAAGATTAGGTTCCTCCATCGACAGCCGACCAGTTGCTGTGGATGTCTGGAGCCAATGACCATGCAATGTATACTTCTGTGTGCTCACAGACAGCCTAGCCAGTGAGCATATGGACCCCAGAGTAGAGTTTAAGAGCTTTGCCAACATGCGATACTCTTTTATGACTGGAACAATGGGATGCTCATGCCTGAAAGATAATCTGACTGCCTAAGAACAAATTCCAAATAAATAGTACAAAGGATATTTCCTACATGTTACATGCAATGACAATCGGAATACAGATAAAAATTTTGAGAGGTTCCTAATAAAGATGCACAGATTCAAGCACCTTCTAGCACTGTATGAGTAAATACAGAAGCATCTTTGCTCCCAATTCCAATATTCTAAGATGTATTCTAAATATAGAAATAATACTCTTGAACTACTAATTTGAACATTGAGTTCTGCTATTGTGGCTTTTGATACTCATCACCTGAGCTGGCTTCCTACGGAGAAGAAAAACTAAGGCTTGGCGTGATCATTGCCAAATACCAGATCACACTAGAGATGCTTGATGGAAAATCCATGGTAAACCAGCAAACCAGAAGACAGTCAAAAGATGAGATCCATGACTTAACAATGGCCAATGAGGAAAAGCCTCAATGTGACGATCTGAGACTAAAACTTTTACCAAGACAATAGGAGTTGTTATGGAAATAAAGACTGAAACACCCCGGGGAAGATTGTTGGTTCTAGTTCTTTTGCTTAAGAAAGATTTTGGCTTGGGAAAGAAAATTGCTGGTTCAAGTTGGAACCCCTTCATCTCAATGTTCTGTTCCCTCCATGTGATGCACATGGACATTTGATACCTGTAAGTTAAATGTTTTATTTCCTGTTTTGTTTCCTTATTATAGTTATTGTAACCAGGTTTTTATTTCTGTTATTTATGATGTCTGACCATGTCATTCATTGTGGACTGTCAACATCCATTTTCCTTCTTTAGACTCATGGATTTCGCTGCCTCTAGGCTTTATTAGCTGATTTTCAGTAGCTGAATGCCAAGATTATGCCCTAGGCTTCTCTTCATATTTTCACGACTACCTTGTGAAGGGTCTTCAGTAAGATGACTATCGTTATGGACTACGAATTATGAGACACAAAACGATAAGAAAACTTGTTTAAATGTGCACCTTAGTGCGTCCAAACAATGCTTGTCAGTACTCAAATGTTGCTTTCCTTTATTGCTCCCAGTAGGTATGGGCAGCTCAAGTGTCCATATAGTACATTTGCGATATCTGCTGGCATATGCAATGAAGTCTTCCCAGCCAGCTTATAAGCTTCTTTCTCAAGATGCCTCAGTCTCTTGCCAACAATTTACGAGCCTGGATGCATCTCTCCAAGTCAACACCAATTCCGCAGCACTCCATATCAGCAAGAACATGTACCTGATAAACAAGGGCAGTTGATAAAGTACCATCACATATCTCACACATGCAACCATTTAAGAGAACTAAGTATAAAAAAATAAACAAACAAGGAAACTTTTAAGTAGACTTCGTAGGGTAGGGAAACAAATTAAATAAAACTGAAGTAGATACAACAGAAATTGTGTTTTCGTTAAAGGCAATGAAATTATGATATGTTGCCCAGTTCACAAGTTAAAAAGTGATAATAATTCATCAAAGTTAGAAATGCATTCAACTATGATAGACAATAAATTGGACATGTATGGACAAGATGTTTCCAGAGCATCCATGTTCAAGCAGTGTCCTAGGTAACTTGAAAATTGTTCGACATTATATTTTACTTTCACCAGTATAGACATGCAACAAATGCAAGAAATGGTGTGTCCTAAGAGTATCACAGCCTCATGGACCCTCACCAAACGGGATTTCTATGCTCATAAGCACTCCAACAAAGTTCCTCAGAACAAGTAATTTCCATAGAACAGAACAAACGCTCGCATTTGTGCTGCCCGACGGCAGCACCCATTGTGTGCAGCTCTACGCCATCTGATCTTCCATCTTCCACTCCGGTTAGCTGCTGCAGCATCATCACTGGATAATCTTTCTTCACTTCCTGTTTTAGTTAACAAATATCAAAATTTTCTAAAGGCTTCACATTTCAAATGACAATATGGGTAAATTATTTGTCAACCACAGATCAAGGTAATCAAACCCACCAGAGTACATGCTGCATTGATAGGACCTCTCTGAGACATAGGTTATCCATTTTACCAATAGCCATATTTTCTGTAAAATTTGTTCTCTATACCATGAGGAAGACACCTGTCACGGGGCCCAGTATGATCATTGATTTCCATAACGTACCAGTGGCAGTAAGCTGTATCTTTGATAGATTTAGAAGTACCATTGGCCCACCCCTCATATTTTAGAGAGTCCTCAACTGGAACTAGAGACTTTTCAGTAGACATGCTACAACATCGCATTCCACTGCTTGATTTTTCTTCTGCCAGAACACCATTACAGGATGATTTTTTTTCTTTTCTTCTTCTCTCTTTTTCTAAAGGACCTTGATCAGAACTTTCCAAGTGGTCTGCATCTGAGAAGCTATTGTTAGTGTCAGCTCGATCACTTCCGGAGGAGGTGCCCCTGCTCCTTGCCTATTAGAGTCGAAGCAACAGGGGACAACATTGAGGGAGCAAACTGCGGGACATTATAGCCAAGTGATTTAAAGGCTGAAAAGGCAGCAACCCTTGCCTCTTCAGCTTTATCAAGAACAATCTTACGAGCACCATGCTTTATCTTCTTGGCTACACCAACTTGCACACGCCTTTGCACAGTACCTTCCAAAGGAATAAAATAAACTCTTTAGAATGAGAAAATATACATCAGTAACCAAATGGTTGGAAAGAAATAAAAAGATCCAAGCCAAGTAATAAAAAATCCAAAGAAGCTGCAAACAATCACACTATTAGTATTATTGAATTTAAAGAAAAGATTAAGAAGTAAAATGAAAGATAACTGCACATGAGGTATTGGACAATAGTCATAAAAAAACTAAAAGAAAACATTTGAACCATGTAAAATTACAATGCGTTTCTGATGGAACCCCAGTATATTCTAAAAAGATAAATTATGGTCACAGGGATGATCTAAACTGGAATATGGGATAATAGAAGAATTCAGAGTTGGGAAAGAGATATTCTGCCTCTCCATTTCATAAAAGATTTGTTTTGGTCCATGCTATTTTCCAAGTATGAGAAATTCAAAGGGTCTTGTCAATAATCAATGGCCTAGCAGCAGCTAGGAACAATAGTAGCATGAAAGTCATTGATCCAGTGATTTTTGTGCCATGTCTATCATTAATAATTTCAAGGGTTAAATGTCAACAATGTAAACTCAACGTTTACCAAAACAAGGACTTCATTCAACTACTATTATATTACCGTCTGAGCCCATGATGCAGATTCAAATAGTACTTTTACTATTTCAGGAATGGATGCTTCAGCAATTGCAAGAGGTGTGCGTAAACCTGCTTTATAAGAGGTGCTCTGGCTCGAGAACCCTGCAAATGGGACAAGAGTGACATGAAACTAATTCAAGTAAAATACAAGACAATAGTGGCAACAAAGCAGAAGTTATTTACGGGCTGTAGAGTCTGCAAAAATGTCAAAAGATGAGTTGAGTTACTTACCTTAACTATGGAATAGTGGTAAGCTCTACAATCTCTGCTCTGACTCCAAACGATACACGATTTTGAAACTTGGCAACCAAACCTTCAAGATCATGCCACCCAAGTCTCTCACAGAAAACAGAAACATAGATGCAAACCTTCCAGCATTCTCTTGCAAGGCTTGAACCATTCTCTGGCAACTTTGAAAGCTTCACAAACCTCACCCACAGGTGTTTCCTTCATGAAATAATTTTTTTTTATATAACTATAAGTTCAACTGCTAGAGACTACACCAGATGAAAAGAAATATAACTGATTGAGTAAAAGTCCCAACATCCAGACCAAAGCTAGGGGACATAATTAGAGAAAAATAATACAAATTGATGGAACGAAAAAGCATTTGAACCTAGAGAATCAAACACACCATTCTCTCTGGCAACTTTGAAAGCTTCACAACCCTCACCCACAGGTGTTTCCTTCATGAAATAATTTTTTTTTTATATAACTATAAGTTCAACTGCTAGAGACTACACCAGATGAAAAGAAAATATAACTGAATAGGTGAGTAAAAGTCCCAACATCCAGACAAAGGTCTAGGGGACATAATTAGAGAAAAATTATACAAATTGATGGAACGAAAAAAGCATTTGAACCTAGAGAATCAAACACATGCTAGACTTGCATGTATAATATTATAAAAACAGGATGAATCTAATGTTTAAGGATGCAAAATTTACAATTTACAGGACCAATTTGGCATGAAACAAACTTGCAAAGATCAAGACGATGAAAAGAAAAAAAAAACTCAAGGGACTAAGATAATAATTTAACCAAATAAAATATTTTAAAAAACACAGAAAGTGGTATTGTTGAGACGATCAGAAGAGAAGACTGGAGCAAAAGGAGAAGAAAATGAGGAAAACAAAAGGAAATACCAAAATGGTAGAAAATAATATTCAACACAATATTTAGTTGGATAAGAGTTCTTTTAAAATATGTAATCCAAAAAGTTGAAGATATGAAGCCTTCAAAAGAGCTCTCTTATCAGGAGAAATTTGAATTAATGTGAGAGAAATGCACCTGAACTAGTCTTGACAAAATAAGAGCAACATAGAATCTTTTACACACACGAAGTGTTTGATCATCTGAGTTAATTGTTCCATGGGGTGTCCCAATTTGATTTCCTTGCTTACTATGCATCCGTTTTGTAGTGTTCTTGGACTTGTTAGAAGTGCATATTGGTGCGCCATGTGCCATGCGCATCAAGAATGGTTCTGTCACACAACCACACGATTGCCTACTGACTGCAACCATAGTATAATTAACATTAACTAACAACATTTAAAATATGGCAAGCCATATGATATGTACCCAAATATATATATATATATGGTAAGGCATTCCATCATTAACTCACAACATTTAAAATATAAAAGCATTCCATATAACGGCAAATATGCAAAAACAAAAATATAACGCATCAAGTGATCCTTCCAATAAGTGGAAAGACAATTCAAATAGTGCAATCAACACATAAAGGAGAGATTACAAAATGGTGTATCTATCATTTAAAAAAAAATGTAAGAAAGGAGCAGTTTGTGTTCAACAAAACTATTTATCAACTGCTTTCTCATATCAATGTATTTGGAAATTGTTGCAAAGTGCGGTTTCCTATCAAATTACTTAAAAGGGCATGTCTTATAATGGGTCAGTAAAAAAGGTCAAAAATCATTAAAGTAATTAAAGATTTTGAGTGTTGATACTTTTGAAAATAAAACAATAATGCTACACTCTGTTTCTACTTTGAAGGAGAAGCTGCAATCCTCTGCTACCTTCCCACAGCCAAAAACAACAAACAAACAGAGACAAGTGTAAGTGCTTATTTTCTTAAAGGAAAAAGTTCAGCCAAACACTAAAGTTCCAAACAATCTTTTTTATGAAAGATGGGCAACTCCTTCAGCTAGATAAGCTTGACCATTGAACAACATCTAAAGTCCTGCATTGAAAAGCAAGAAAGGGGAGTACAGATTGACTTGCTAAGAAGCATACACCTGATCAAGTGGAGACAATTGCACAAAACGTTCATAGTACAGTTCCCAATCTGGCTCAACATCAACATTGATTGGTGTCACCAAGTAAACTAAATGCAAGTCCGATGCGAGGACAAATCCTTCCCTGGCCCTTGAAAGGTCAGCTAGCACAATCTAAGAAATCAATCAAACAGTACAGTTATGTCAATCGCAACATGATTATCTCCCAAATACCAGAAGCACGTTACCTAAATTTGAACAATCAAGTACACAAGTAAAGCCAAACAAGTTGTAATAGACAAACAAGTTGGAAATAAAATTCTTAACAGCAGTAAAAATAAAGTAGATTGAAATGCTTACAAGTGATTCTTCTGGACAGAGAGAACTGCCAAAGGCTGCACGCCCAGAGGTGTTGTACTGTAAGTTTTTTCTTCTTCATTCCATTCAAGGAATTTTCTTTGGCACAGCCATCTAAGGGATTCCTGCGCTGATTTAACCACATCTTGAAATGGTCTTGTGGAGTTCAAAAGAGTGCATCTAACATAACGATGAATATCATTAGCAGTTTGAACCGTTCCTCCTCCAGCCACACTTCTAAAATTGCATGAGTCATTCCATTGATATCTTCAGATAAACACGAATGTAGTGGTGGACAGCTTTCATTAAGAAGTCCCATAACTTTTTTTATCTCTTCTGATTTGCAGATTAGTACCTAGAAAAATCATCAAAATTTGATAGTGTGAAGGAATAAATTAATGCAACCCTGCAATTAATGACATCACGAGATATGCCAGAAATAGGCATATGCTATTAAATGTAAAAAATAAAAACATTTATGCATAAAAACCCCAGAACAATTAACATGTCAGACTGGACGAAACCATAGAAGCTACCCATCTAGTACTAGATAACATAATAAGACGTACACTTTCTCCTTTTGTATCAATTCCAGTTCGACCAGCCCGACCAGCCATCTGCTTGTACCTCGTCCCATCAATAAATCAAGACCAATTCTAGGCTGGCGAAAAAATGACCCGCCTAGCCGGCAGGTTAACTCCAGCTGCTAAGGTTGATGTAGCAGTTAAGACACGCAAAAGGCCTCTGCGGTAACAAGTTTCAATGATCTCTCTTTCCTCAACCTATGTGAACAGCACGAAATATAGCCTAAACCATAAGAGGTAGGTAGGTAGGTAGGTATTACACTTTCATGCATGTAATAAATAAACCAAAACCAATTATTAAATATGAGCTCTATGACCACAAGTTCATGATAACATTGTCAATAGAAGCCATAAAACCAGAAACAAAAAGAATGAAATACCGTAAGTCCAGCATGGTGAAATGCAACACCAGATGGAAGTGTTTCCTCTAATGTGGGGTCAACCCAGCTGGGCACTTTCTCAAAGAGTCAATAGCTGAAGTAATATCAGCAAACTCACAATCATTTTTTTGAATGTCAACAGTAAACTTTCGAAGGAACCTTGCCACATGCTTTGCAGTTGATTCACATCCCTTTCTGCTAGAGCAAAATATTAACACTGAATGTCCCTCTTGAACGACCTGATAGTATATGAATTTATCCATATTAAGATTCAGCTTTCCAAGTCATAAAAAGTTGCACTAAGACGTTGAAGCACCCCTCATTACACAGCTCAACAACATGATCAGGATCTCTACCACCAAGGTCAGCTGCTTTCGATACTGTTCTAGCAAGTTCCATTCTCTTGTTGTAAATACAATTACCAACTTTAATATATTCTTCTAAGGGAACTGGTCGAAACTCTGTCTGGTATAGTGCAGCCTTCATGAAAGTTTGTGAGAAATGGATTTAAATGCGTACCATGGTGGAAATGTTAGAAGTGCGTCAAAACATGATAAGCAAACATTTCATTTGAATAACAGGAATACAAAGCTTGAAAAGAAGTAAATGTATTGAAGACCCAGACAAGTCTATGTCAATCTTAACAAGAAGATACAATATGCTCATCACTTCACGCGTTGCCACCCAACATTATCATAATGCACAGACCAAGCTAAATGACACTGACTCCTTTTTATTGCCATCCAAAATATCCTGTACGTGACATTTTTTTTTATTGAAGAAATTTCCCATCTGCAGCCTTCAATACTTGTCAGAATTCATGATAAATAAATCATTTTTACACTATAATTAGCACTTTCTGATCAGATGATTCATGATTGCCAGCCATCTTAGGTGCACCCAAGAATAACATGCACTCATTTACCCCATAGATTGTGGAGAATTTCATGCATTCACCAACCAACCTTTTCGTGATCAACAATTTATAATTAAATTTGTGTACCATATTAGACATCAAATGACACGATATTATCCACAGAAATCCACTTGTGACCTATGAATAATGACATCAAGTAGTTATAACTTCCATTAGACAATAAAGCAAACTTGGAGAGGGTCATCCGTGACCAAGCAGTAATGAACACAAATTATTATCCAACTAAAATAGGGAATGTTCAATTTTGAAAGGAAAAAAATAGTGAAAATCAGATCGCAACAAGATGTTTTGCATACTTGTGGATCAATTCAAACACAGAACAAATAAATCGACAACAGCTAAAGAGGACTATAAAATGGACCTTCCAAAGTGAGATAAAAAGACCCATAAAAGTCAAGGTTGCAGAATTAAGGTATGCTTGCAATTATGCTTACTTGAAGCCAATCAGCAACTGCAGCTACATTTGGCATTGTCCGCACTCATTCCAACTATCTGCAGTCCTTGAGCAGGATCAGCTTATTGCTGCTTCCACCTGAACTTTCTCCACTACTTGATTCTGAGTGACCTTCACCAGCAGCATAACGAAGCTTTGTCAACATAAGTTCTAGAAGATAACCTCTACTTGGATCACCAACCTGTCAACATAATCACGGAAAATGCATGAGAACCATCCAATTAATCTTTTTCAGGGAGGGGGAGCAACAAAAGACAATGGAAAGATATGACTGCAAACATCTAAAGACAGTTTTTCAAAGGATACTGTCATAAGAATGGAAAAAGTACCATTTGCAGTTCGTGTACCATAATATCCAATAAAGGCCTCTGGAAAACAGCCTGTAAAATATTTTATGAACAAATAACGACAAAAGCAACAATCAAAGATACCATATGTAGTTCATCTATCACAATAATTCCCATTTCTGATAGACGGCCCTCTTCCAATAATCTATTTATCAAAGAGTTTGCCTTCTCTATTGTGCAGACAGCTACAGAAGTATCTTTAGGAAGTGATCCACCACCTTGATTTCCATAATAACTACGTACATGTTTGCCAAGCGGCTCAAGAAGACGCTCAAGGTGTTCTGCCCTGTCAAAGTCAATGAAATGTGTACTCTTATCAAACAGAATTATTAATATCTTAAACGCAAATATTGCAAACATGTATGTATATATAAAAGAACCATTTAAATAAAACCCACCTTCTTGTATAAACAAAACCCACCGTGTGAAAAATATTCAATAAAGTAGGGAAAGAAGATAACCTTTCTGCACAAATTGACACATAAGGGAGAACAAGCATTGCCATTTTTCCCGTCAAAACCACCCTTCGTAGCATTAAAATCTCAGCAACAAAACTCTTGCCAGCACTGTAAAAAACAAGAGAAACATCAATATAGGCCCTCCCTCAAAATCATCACCCCCACCTTCCTCACCCCCCACCCCAAAAACATGAAGGAAAGAGAAGAAAAGAAAAAAGAAAATGGAGCATGAGACAGAAAGAATACCAAAGAGAAAAATTGTCAAAGAAATAAACGAAAATGAAGATAAAAAAAAAGAGAGAAAAGCAGCAGAATACCAAGAAACAACTCGATGAACAAGAAAAGAATATCAATCAACTGGATTTTAATTAGATGGAATGTTCAGTACAGGAAAATGAATTATCAATAGAATAATTACATGTTATTCTGGCTTTTCTTAGTCCCAAAAGAGACAGCATGAATGTGTAAATCAAAAGTGTGGTTAACATCACCAAGTTTGAGATAATGGAATTTTCCCTAAAATGAATTCATTATGATAGAAAATGCTTAATACTCTAGTTCACCTCATGAATGAAAAACAACAAACATATGAAAACACAACCTACGTCAGATCTAATTCTTTTACTTGGCATATAACTGAAGAGAACACAAAAACTAATTAAGGTTTGCAGTAATTTCGAGTTACATGAGAGAATACCTTGTAGAAGCACAATATACCAGATTTCTTCTCTGCAAGACACCTTCCACCTGAAGGCAATCAACCTAAAAGACAGAAAGAAGGAAGAACCAAATTAAAACTAACATTTAGAAGCAACTAACTAAAACTTTTAATCAAATTTTTTAGACAAAACAACTCAGGAAAATCACATTCCACAGCAGAACAATGAGCAGAGGCAAGAAAGAATTAAAACCAAAGGTGACATTTGAGTCAATCAAACAGCCAAAACTTTCAGGAGGGAAAAAAAGCAGTGAAGGGAAAAAGCAAGTTTGTCCTTTTGGGCAGAGGGGTCAAATAAATTGTATAAACCGAATTTAGTCCATTGCTAAAATGAGCAGCAGTTACACTCTAAAAATGCAAATATACCTGCCAATCATATAACTTTGAGATTCCTTTTTCCTATAGATGCTGCATATTTCAGGTGGAAGCCACCTGTTAAGGTCTAAATGATCATTAAGCAACATATTGCTTGATGGAGTACTGATTTTATCAGATGAATGAGTACGGGCTGAACTTGGTAAATTCACTTTCTTGCTTACAGCATGGACTGAAGCCTTCTCCTGCACTTCACTCATCATTTCATCTGCATGAGCGGTCCCAAATACAGTGAAGTTCTTGCTAGATTTCACTTTTTAGTGGTGACTGAACTTACTTCATACTGCCTATGAGTCTCATGAGTTATGCTGATCAGATCGCCAGCACCACATTGTTTGTGGAGAAGTCTCATCCAAATTAGTGTCCTCAAATGAAAAATCAAAATGCTTAACAGCAGGCTGGACACTTCTTTCATGGAATCTTTTCCATGCATCCCAACCAACCCTAAAGGAGTACCCCTCTCCAATTCTCTCGCCTCTGCTCTGACTCTGATGCAATATTTTGCTTGGCTTGCCCTCCTGCCAAATTACTGAATTCCTTTTTTCTATAGTGTGCATATTTCAGGTAGCATGTAATCAAATTCATTAACACAAACATAGCTATGAATGGTTTCAAAATGAGTCGGCGAAAAATTCACTCCCAGCATGACTGGCCTCTCCTTACTCATCTTTCACCAGGCGGTCCCAAATACATATTCGCAGATTTCACTTGGTGATAATTACTTCTACTGCCTATGTCCATGAGTTATGCTGATCACCAGAGTAAAACGCCAGCAACATGTTGTGAAATCTATAATATATATCTCAAATGAAAAATCAAAAGTTAAAATAATTCTTTCATGGTCTTTTCCAGACACAACCTAAGAGTACCCCTCAAATTCTCGCTTTTGTCATGAAATTTTCTTGGTGCTCACTATTTTTAAATTCTGAATTCTTCTCAAAAACTTCTCTAGTGTTATTTTTCACTAGATCAGAATCAATCTTGAGCACACAAACCATACTAGTTGAATTGCTTCGTCCCAAAATGCCTCCCCAGGCGAAAACATTGAGCTCCCACGCGTTGACTTTGGGGTCTCCTTAATGCATTCTTTAACAACCAAGGATCCTGGTGTGAAGCATTTATTCATATTCGCAGATGACTTGGGTGTATAATTGCATCTTCTAAAGCCTCTGTCCCGAGCAATAGCATCATCACCAGAGTAAACCTGCCAATAGGAAAGCATGACGTGAATATATATATATATATATATATCTCAATAATTGCAATGAGAACCTGGCTACAAAGTCCAAATAATTTTGAACTTGGTCCAACCTGTGTGTTACTGCCAGACACAAACGCTGAAGAATTACCAGCAGCATCAGGATTGATGTCGTCAGGGCTTTTGTCAACAGTGAAAAGGTTTTCATCACCATTAGGTGACTCACTATTTTACACTTCTGGGGCAAACTACTTTCTCCCCCCGGCAATGTTAAAACACCATCTCTCTTAGAGCCATCCTTCTTCACCTCAGATGGAGAATTAATGCTTGAGCGTAATTCACTGCATGTTGCATAGTTTTAACCCCAGGAAAAAAATGAGTTAACTTTGGGAGAAAGGAGAAGGGTAACTGGCAACGGTGCTTCAGGATTTCATCTCCATTAATTAACGATTGATATCTCAACAAAATATTGTCACCGTCAAAAAATAAAACCTTTCTGATAGATATAGTGAAGTTACCAACAATACAATGACAAGAAGTCTGCTGCAAATTGTTTAATCACTTCCTGTCTTCTATCTGAGCAATCTTCTCGGTCAGGTTTTTCAACTGCTTCATCCCTCGCCTTGGTAAATCATTTGTTAGTCCCTTCTGAGTTGCTTCAGAGTGTTGATGAATTTGAGCAGGCGGAACAGGCTGCTTATGTTCATTGTCGAAAGAACTATTAATCACAGGTGCTAAACTCTTTTAACTGCATCCGCCACCGCCGAAGGATCGGTGGTAGTGTATGACAGCCTAGCAGCACTGGAATTTCCTGCGAGGAAACCAGGTAACTGTCCAGGGTACCTTTAGCACTGGGAGAACCATCGACAGTATTTCTTCCATCTTTTTCAGATCTTCCATGTTTAGAGACAGGGGACACGGCTTTCCTTTCTTCGAAACGAAAAACTGCATACATATATCAACAACCATGTCAAGAAGTAACCCATTGAGTTCGTAAGAGTGAATTAGAAGCTACTACCAGTCACGCTTCTTTGGACACAGACTAAGCAAGATTATTGAAAGACTTATTTTTCTTGGTTCCCAAATTTGCGCGCCCCCGACTAGCTGGCACGTTGGGTTCGGAAATAAATTCGAACCCGCGTGCTTTCAATCCATTTCTTGGCCCCCGAACGGAAACATTAGAAATAAGTCATGTGCAACTTTGTAAGCAACAAAGGGATAAAGTTTTTTTCTTTGCACAAAATTTGATACATAACGTCGAATTATTGGTTTCGTCCATGGTGCCAGATAAAATCAATAACAGATCGGAAGTTGTGCGGATACAATGCACAAAAGGAATGGCGTCGAGGGTTCCCAAACTCTAAATAGGCAAAGGAGAAAAACCTGATCGATGCGGTCCCTGGGCGAACCAGAGGCCATAGTCGAAGTGGCAGAATTCCACGAAAGTATGCAGAAACTCTATGCCCTTCTTCGCCGTGGTCTAGGCGTGAGAGTCCCGCGTAGGACTCCGCTAACCCTTGAGTCCTCATGTCGAGCGTCCCCAGTCGAGACGAGCAAGGAAGCGGGAGCGGTTCTGCAATGGCGGCAGTTCACTGAGCTTCAAATTGAAATTTTAAGGGAATTTAAAAAAAAAAAAAAAACCGTAGAATAACTTTTTTACTGGCTATCCGCAAATCACAATCCACTCACCCGATTTAATGTGAAATACTTTCTCCCGCTTGCCTGCCTGGCTGAGAGAAGAAGGGAGGGAAAAACTCGTAAAAATATAAATAAATATTTTATAAAAAAATGAATATTAATCAGGATTTTAAAATAATAGTAGGTAAAAATTATATTTTGATTTTTTACATAAGTTATAAATAACATTTGTGTCATAATATTTTTAGTATGATTTAGGAAACTTGACTAATGTTAATTTTTTACATGGTACTCATATATAATTTTAGGTGTCTTTTTATAGCAATTTTTATATCCTTTCTGTAATTTGTAAATAACTATCAAACTTATCACTTGTAATGATAGGTGTTTAATGTTCTATTTTTAAATATTAAAGAAAAAATTGCATTGCATAAATTTTTATAATACTGGATGTTCCAACATAAATAGCTAAAAAGTAAAAATATTCTTTAATGTGTGTGTGAGTTGTTTTTTTCGGCTCTTGAAGCTCTTTCTTTTAATGCTTGTTTAGATAGAGGAGAAAAAGCGAGACTTGATTAAAAGGAGAATTTCATTTGGAGCTCTCGAAACATAAAAGTTTGCTTGGAGATCCTAATAAATTTTGGAAACGCATTGCAGGTTTCAAGATTTTTCTTGCAAATTATAGATGAAGATATGTGTTTGCCTTGTCTCAATAAAATATCCATTTATGCATAAAATAATATTCATAAATTTTTAATATAATATTCATCAATGTACAACACATCTAGTAAATATGCATTAACTTAAAATATATTGTTTGTTATAGAATTTATATATATAAATGTTTCAAGTCTACATATATTCACTATGTTAAAAATTGATGAATATCATCATGTTCATCATTTGCTTGTTTGTATATTTTATTTAAATTAAAATCAAATTCACCAGATGTGTTATACATTTATGAGCGCTAAGTCGAACATTCATAAATATCATATTATGTATGTATGAACATTCTGTTGAAACAAAGACAAATGTTTTTTTCACCCACAGTAAAATTTACAAAAAAAGTCTCAGGCATGTAGTGTATTCTCATATTTTATTGAGCCTTTAATGTCAATTTTTGTTTTCTGGATGACTAAGGTGAGATTATCCCTCGATCAAATGCAGAAAAAATGAGAAAATTTACAATTGATTGGTGACATTGACTTTTCGTCCACCAGTAATCCTAGCTCGTCTGTAGAGTTGGATGAATAAATTTGTCTATAGTTCCCGAGACTGCAAGACAATAATTTTCTTTTTCCCCCGTTACCACTCTGAACCTGCTTGATTGGGGTGCACTGATGATGATGAATATTACAATGGTGATATTCAGTGTACAATTTAAAAGGAGATTATACATGATTGTTACGATCTACAGCCACTTTAAAAATGTTCATTTGATCCTCAATACTTGATTTCAACATTTCTCATAAGTCTCCTTTCCTCCCTATAACCTGTTTGCCGCCTCCCTCCCTTCTCCTCCTCTGTTGCATGCTTTTTCCCTGTCTTCAAATCCTTCTTCGTCTCCTCCATCCTTCCTTCTCTACCGTGGGGGCCAGAGTAGTATGAATCAAAGGTGAAAAATTATTAAGAAGCTATTTGGAAAGAGAAGAGAAAAGGGAAAAGACAAAAAACATCTCTAAATTGTGCAAATAATAATTAAATATCATGAAACGTGATGATAATTATTATTTGATTTATAGAGATTTATATGGTATTTTGATTTTTTATGAAATGACACATCTGCCCTTAATAGCTATCGTATATTGGAAAGTTATTATTTCATTTTGACTCTTGATGGAATGCAAAATGACTTTGGTTTATCTTCACATACTTCGATCTTATCTCTTCGTCCTTGCTTTGGCTTCACTTCTAATGCCAAGATACTCCATTTTATTTTATTTTATTTCCAATTTTAAAGCCATTGATTATTATTTTTAATCAATGTAGTTTATTTTGTTTTCGTGTAATCCAGCATGGTCTTCAACTATTTCCAGATTCATACGCGTTGCTCTGTATTTTTCACTAATCTATTTCTTTCTTTTTTTTTTATTCTAACAGCCAGCCCAAAATTTAATGTCATTAGTTACACATAAGATAATTTAACATCAATAATATCATATTGCTGCTCTTGTGGACATATTTAAAAATAAAAGGATTTACATTACAAATGAGAATAGCTATGAAAACTTTAAATAATAAAATGTACAATAATCAATAACAAAATACAATAAAATTACTTTGGCCAGAGGCTATGCTGCCCCGAAAACTTATATCGTTGCGAGAAATGAGTCCACACAGGGAAAAAACAAGAAAATGAGAAACCCCGTACGAAATACGATGGGAGAAAAAAAATGTAAACAACCTCATTTTTTTTGGTCCGAAAAGATGGCTACTTTTTTCACTCTGACAATAATATTTTGGCTCATACTTCCTCCAAATCACAGTATAAAATATGTTATAAAAATCTTTCATAATCTAAAATATAAAGTGCTATACAATTTTTACACTCTCTCAATTTAAAAATATAAATTTTTAATTAAATCTTACCCATCAATTAAATAGTTACTTCCTTTTAAATTAATCTTATCTTTTTCTATTAAACACCCTACTATAAAATAAAGTCATTTATTAATAGGGATACTTTTAAAAAAAGGTAATAATTACACTTCAAAAGATTAAAAATACTTTAAATTTTTAAACATCCAACTCCTTAAAAAATGTCTTATATTTTTTAACAGAGGGAATAATTATTTTATCAATTATACATCTATCTCATTTATTACAATTGGTAAAAAAAATGACACATTAAAATTTTTACTGTCATTGATGATGCATTTATACATGATATTTAATTTAATAATTATATGATTGAAAATGCAAAACTTTTTAAAAGATTAAGATATCACATAATTTTTTTGAGAAAATATGATGGTTATTAGTTACTGATACCCCATGTTGCAATCTAAAAGATATGTTATTTCCATAAAAAAAATAATAAAAGGGCTTAATTCTAAGTCACTATTTTTAAGTCTTGTAATCACTTCCCTCTATTTTTAGAAACGGTAATTTAAGGCTTAAAGATGAATTTGATTTTAATTTAAGACTAAAAATTTATAATAAAGGACCAACTGTCGTTAATTAGTTTGGCACTAATAATTGACAGTTTAACATTGATATTTCAAATTCGATACAAAATATTTCTGTTAAAATTTGAAATTAATATTGATGAAAATAGTGTATCCGCAGATAGCACTGTAAAGTCTTGAATGCAATATTTCAAATGAATAACTATTTTGCATTAAACCAAACTTATGCAAATATCCAGTATATATGCAAACGGATTTGAGGCAAAATACAATAGTACCCCAATAACTAATAACAACGTAAATCAGGAAATAATATGAGACCATTACATATCTTCAACACTCCCCCTCGAGTTCAAACTATACAAATCTATAGTTTGCAACTTGTTCAGAAATCTATCATGTAATTTCTTTCCCAAGACTTTAGTTAGAACATCAGCCTCCTGCTCTGCTAAATGAACATGATGTAGAGAAATAATCTTCTACTGTAATTTCTCTCTAATAAAATGACAATCCACCTGTATGTGTTTTGTCCTTTTGTTGAAAAACAGGATTATTTGCAATATGAATGACAGCCCTACTGTCGCAATATACCTTTACTAGCTCTATATTCTAAAAACCCAGATCTCTCATTACCCCTAAAACCCATCTAACCTCTAAAACAACAACACCAAATGCTTTATATTCAGCTTCAGTTGATGATTTAGAGATAATTTCTTGCTTCTTTGCCATCCAGGAGATTAAGGAGTCTCCCATTTTCAGCAAATAGCCAGAAACTGATCTCCTAGTAATATAACACAGTGCCCGATCTGAATCACACAAGCACCCTAATGTTTTACTGTGTCTCGAGCTTAGAAATATTCCAAGTCCTGGGCTATTCTTCAAATATCTCAGCACATTCTTTACAGCTACCATATAAGCCTTTGTTAGAGTTTACATGAATTGGCTCAAACTCTACACATGAGAAGAAATGTCAGGACATCTCATTGTTAAGTATATTAACTTACTAATGAGTCTCCTATATACTCCCCAGGGTCTTTCAACAGCTCCTCCTTCTTATTTCTTCCTTCCTCACATGCAATGAGCCTCAAACTGGAAGCCATAGGTACTGTCAGTGGCCTACAGCCACTCAATCCTATCTCACACAGCAAGTCTAAAACATACTTTCTTTGATTCATGACAATACCTTTTTTAGAACGTGCCACTTCAATTCTTAAGAAATACTTTAACAAACCAAGATCCTTTATCTTGAATTCACTATGCAAAAACTCTTTAGTTTGCTCAATCCCAGATTTAGAACTCCTGGTAATTAAGATATCATCAACATACACAAGGATCAAAACAATGCCATCATCAAAACGTTTAGAAAACATTGAGTAATCATGCATGCTTTGATTGTAATCACCTAATTTTGGTGCTTGTGTTAGTTTATAGTTTTATTGCTTGGAAGCTTGTTTTAGTCCATCCAAGGATTTATTAAATTTACAAACTTTAGTCTCCCCCTTATTAAGAAGACCCCGCAGGACAGTCATATAAACTTCTTTATTAAGATCACCTTATAAAAGGCATTAAAGATATCCATTTGATTCAAAGACCAATTATGGTAAGCAACCAAAGAGAGTACAATTCTAACAGTAACCATTTTCACCACAAGGAAAAAAGTCTCTTAATAGTTTATCCCCTCCCTTTGGCTAAACCCTTTTGCTACTAATCTAGCCTTATACCTCTCTACACTCCTATTAGCCTCATGCTTGCTCTTATAG